TTAAAAATTGTTAACAAACAAACAAATTACTTGTCATTGTCAAATGTCAACGATAGTTATTTTCATTTGTAAAAAAGGGGCATGTAACATTATTGTCTATGATTATTACTATATATTGGGTCGTTCATAGATATTACTTCCTTCTTATTCTTGTCAACGCCCAACGTGCATATCATGTAAGTGATCAAATAAAGTTTATACAACTAAACAAGTCTTCTTTACTCATTTACAATAAAACATTCTTAAGACATTTTTTATTAATACGCTTAGCATAGGTGACCGTCAAATAAGAACTATAAAAAAGAAATCTGATCCTCCAAATTTCGTCAATAAAGATAATAGGGGCAAACACCTCTCTAGAAAGCCTATAGAGATTCGAAATATCATTGAAAATATTGAGCAACATATTATAAATTCTATTCCTAGGATTCATAATTTGAGAGCTTCAACTAGTATGGAGTATATTTGGTGTGAGAAGACAATTATAGATTTATGGAAAGATTTTGATAAATTACAGAAAGAATAAAGAAAAGCCTGAAACATGAAACTACTCGTTGTACTAAAATATAATGGCGTAAAGTGGAAGTATAATACTTTCACATTTCGTCTGGTGAGTGAGGTGGCCGGAGCCCAATTTTCAAAAGGTTGTCGACGCATCTTCAACCCCCGGGTGTATCAGATGTCCATGGGCGGCGGTATTCGCTTAACATCAGGTGAACCGTCTGCTCGCTTGACAACCTTTCACATAAAAAAAATATATATAGTATATTTAAGGAGTTATATTAAACTATTTTTTGGTTATATTTAACTATTTTTTCAGCCTAAAAAAGATGGATTAGATATTGTATTAGCAAATCCTACTCGAGAAATAGAAGTTCAAGAAAAATATGATAATCATCTAAAAAAAAGATTTTCAAGCCAAGAAAAACGTTTAATGGCTGTTATGCAGTGAACCCACTGGAGAAACATCAGCTTTTTTCTATAAATCAAAACTTAATTGTTTTAATTTTACCATTGTGGGAATAATGAAGAAATTAGAAGATTTAAAAAAGCGTAAAAAGAACAATGAAGAGAGTATGAATGAGATAGAGGCATACGATATATTCTAAAAGCTATTTCTGAGATGAGGTTCAGGGAAAAAGTGGTGCTAACGAAATTGGATCATACGTTTTAGATTATTTATTACGTTTAAATGAGCAGAATTCTAACAAAACTCTACACATCAATTTTTATTCCGATAATTATTAGTAACTTAATCCAAAACTATTCACATTATTAAATTTTTAATAAAGGGCTATACCCAAAAAGAAGATAATGTTCATATTCTAATTGAAATGGAGATTAAAAGAAATAAGATGTCTGGACCTATATACACACCATACCAATATATCCCCTTAATTAAGACCTCTCGCAAGAATGCTAAACCTTTTAATGTGAAAGAGCCGACATACGATTTTTTATAAATTTAAAGATTTTACAAGATAAATCCGGGTATAATTTCAATGAAAGTGAAAACAAACACAATATCTCATGGAACAATATCAGAATCCAAAAATTTTGTAAAGCGTTCCGCTTTTCAAAATTTCATTCATATTTTTCTACAAAATTTCATAAACTCAAAAAAAAAATAATATGGTTAATATGAGAAACAAACGGAAGAAAATAGAAAGAATAGAGGACAAAATGATAACCAATGTGTATTCACAAACACTAGAATTAAGTGACCATAAGAAAACTGATTTACATGAACTCTTAAATAAAAACTTAATTCCTAGTTATTACGTAGATTTTTATATTTTGATTCTTTAATTACTTACGTACGTAATAATTTTTTTAAAGTTTCTTTTTAGGAGATACATATTGTTAAGTTTTGTATGACCAATTTAAATATTATTCACAGATACTAATTAAAATTTGATAAGACTGTTATGATTACGATTTTTATGAAGAATATGAGCAATACTTTAATGCACTAAGTTAACTAATTAACTTTAATTTACAGCTAAGAACATGATTTTATTGTAAGCAATTATAGAGACTAGAAGCTACCATTATATCGTTTTTAGTTTCCTTTACAACCTGTTATGTAGAATTAATTAAAGATTACTTTGTAGGAATAATTATTTAGTAAGTTTACTTTCTAATAAACCTTATTTACTATCTTTTATGGTTTACGTATTAAAAAAAACCCCTGAAATTAATCTCAAATTTATTAATAGAGGGACTTACTAATGAAAAACCCACGATTTTCACCGAATATTCAGAAATAGAGAGACCTATATAACAAAGAGTCTTTTTTAAAAATCTGAGGCTTCAATATTATATAGACCTAATTTCGACTACTTTTTTTTAAATAATTTAAAAAAATACTTCGTTGACATTTTTTACTTTATTTTTTTATCAGGCATGTAGATAAATAAGTTAATAAAGCATAAATGCACAAATCTTTATTTAACGTTTCCCAAAAATTGATATTTTTTAAATAGGTCACTATAATTCTAAAGGTGCGAAGTATTCTCGAATTGATTTTTTGAACATAATTATACTTATTTAGAGCTGTTTTGATCTTACAGGGAAGGGCGTTCCAGAGGAGTGTAGCTTGAACGGTAAAAGAGGAGTTAAAGTATCCTGTATTATGTTGAGGAATGTGAATCTTAAGTTGGTTGATGGAACGAGATACTCTGTCAGGGTCAGAGTGAAGGTAATGGAAGGTATCCTTAAGGTAAGAAGGAGAATTAGGATTAAATAATACAGAATACAATGTTAATAGAATTCTAGAGCTGCGCCTCTGTTAAATGGAAAGCCAGTTAAGCTTGCGACGGTAGGAAGTTACATGGTAATATTTGCGTAAACCGAAAATAAATCTAATGCAGCTATTAAGAAGACGCTCCAATTTTTCGAGACGAGATGGGGATAGGTCCGGATAACACACATCAGCATAGTCGATAATGGGAATAATTAATGATTGGACAAGCAGAAGCTTAGTTTTAAAAGGTAGGAAATTTTTCAAACGGTAGAGAGAACGTAAGGTACCAATAACTTTCCGGCTGACTTCGGCAATCTGCGTTTCCCAACCAAATGACTGGTCCAAATGCAAGCCAAGATTTTTGACCGAGTCAGAAAACGGAATTAACGATCCATTATAAGAAATTGGGAGAAGGCTGCCATAATCAATCCTGGCAAGCATCCTTGGATCACCAATTATAATTGCTTTGCATTTAGATGCGTTAACAGTAATCCCAAACCTATGTGACCAATCTTTAATAGATTCAAGATTGTCGTTAACAGTCATTAAACAGCTATTAAGATTTTTAATATCTGTTTGGACATAAAGCTGTAGATCGTCAGCATACAGATGGTACGAACAATTGAGTACTGAGGTGATAGAGTTAATAAATAACGAAAACATAATTGGAGAAAGTATACCGCCTTGCGGCACCCCAGTATCAACGTCCGCCCAGGCAGAACACTGCTGTCCTACGCGGACTGACTGTTGGCGACCGCGAAGATAAGAGGAAAACCAATCCAAAGCTGGGGTCGAAAATCTAAGGTAAGTAAGATAGGATCTAAGGATGTCGTGATCAACTGTGTTAAAGGCGTTAGAAAAGTCCACAAGCACCACCACTGTAACCTTTTAATCATCCATACCTTTTCTTATGTCATCAGTGACCTTGATAAGTGCAGTGGTAGTACTGTAACATTGTCTGCATTGCTTGTTGTAAAGACATTTATTCCGTCAAGTTCATCTACACACTTGAAACATATTTCGATAATGACACGAAACTCAAATACAAAAAAGTAACAAAAAATACAAAGGGAAATGTTGAGAAAATAAAACACAAAAGAAAAAGAATGTTAAAAACAGCAATTATAAACGGTAAATATAAATCACTCAAAATAACAGGACAAATATTTTGTTTTTATTGTGTTAATTAAAAGTAACAACTTTCTGAACACAGCGAGTTTTTTTTTTTTCTCTTTCTCGGTTCTACAGTCGTGTTTATCTCACTTTTATTTGTTTAAAGTGTTTTATATGCGATTAAAAAATATGATTTAAGATGCGGCACCAAGGGGACACAGGAGTAGAATGACCGTTCGCCTCACGGTCAAATCTTCTAATTGCAACTGTAGCGGTCTCTTTTCACCGACTTAAGGTTAGGGAGTGGAAAAAGGATAGTAAGACTAGTATATACATATATATAATGCGTGTAAATGTGTTGCTGTGATTGGATATTATTAAAAAATGTAGACTGCCTATGCGCTAACGGCTATAACACCGTTGATGCTTCAGAATAAAAAGTATATAAAACTCTCTCTTGTTCAATGGCTATGTTCCGAACAAATATCAAGTCCATCCATCGGCTAGTTTTCGAGTATTGAGAACACAAACACACGAAAGTAATCCTTACTAATATAAAGGCGAAAGTTTGTATGTATAGATGGATGTTTGTTACTCTTTCATGCAAATACTACTGAATGGATTTTAATGAAACTTTACAATAATATAGCTTATACATCAGAATATGACATAGGCTATAATTTATATACATATTTTATGTATATCTGTCTACGCAGACGTAGTCGCGGGCAGCAGCTAGTTTTGTCATACAACTTGTTCCTAGGGAATTTGTAGGGTAGGAAAAATCTTTGGGGTGGACCACCGTATATACATATTATATACAATTTTCATAAAAACCAACTCAAATAACAAAATGAAAAAAAAGATTGTAGTGTATTGTAGTGTAGTGTATTGTAGTGTAGTGTATTGTAGTGTAGTGTATTGTGAATTTTAAACATTCTCAAATCGACCTAAAAATTTCGAATCAATCGAACAAAAAAAATCATCAAAATCAGTCCAGCCGTTTAAGAGTTGAGTGACATACACACGCACAGAAGAATTGTATATATAAAGATTTTACAATTTAAAACGCATTGTCACACGGCAATAGAACACACACCGCTGAACACTTCAACGCTTATAAACTTTTTATTCAACTTACCCGCAGGCAGAATTTGAAACAGGCACGGCTGTATTTGCCCTCCCACGGGATTGAATCCCAAACATTGCACCCATCCGTAATCGTCAGAGCTGTTTATCACATACTGGATGGTACCTATGTATAAGGAAACAAGGTATTGGTGACATTTGCAAAAGTATCAGTGAACATATTAAGCCGATTTTTTTCCTTTTTTTTTTTAAGTAAAACTTCTTTAGGCGCGACTAGGGAGTAACTCAGATTTTTTCTGACGGAAGTAACGCTTTTTCTGACGGAATTAACGTCATAAGTATATGTCATATTTTTAAAATATGAGATATACTTATGACGTTACTAAATATTTAATCATTTCAGTGATGTATGCCGTCAACGCCAAAGAAGTTTTACTTCAATCGCGAGTAAAGGTTACACGCACACACTTTTTAAAAAAAAATGCCCTTACTACGGGATAACATTATCCAGTGTTGTAAGGATGTTTCTACAAGCATAAATATCACGCGGACAAACACCCAGATGCGGATCAACTGTGGGTCACACAAATAGTTGTCCCGTGTGGGAATCGAACCCACGACCCCGGACGCCGAAGCCAATACCTTGGCGACTGCGCCACGGAGTCGTCAAATAATTTAACACATGAAGAAAATTATTCAGTCACCTTCATCTAGACCCTTAATATCCGTAGTAACTTTTAAAATAGAAAAAACAAAAAAAATACAAAGGTGGATAAAATATATTAACAACAAATAATAATATTAATAAACTTAAAACAGCACAAACATTTTGTTTTGATAGAATAGATTCATAGCAAAGGAAATCTGTGTGTAAGTATCTAGTAAAAAAAAAATTTTTAATAGATACTTTATCACGGGGCGATATTTACGCGTTTTCTCGTCTGCTTGGGTTTATAAATAAAAATAAACATATAGATAAAAATTGTATATAATACTTCTATCCAATCACGGTAGTTTATACAACAATAATACTGGTATAGTTGCTTATTTTCACTTCTAGGCGGAATCACCGCTCTTACGATTTAATTTGTGATACCGATTAGGCAGCACTATCGCTTATACCTACTTCTTGTTGACAGCCAAAACTGACCATGAAATGCTCCCTGCAGCTTCGTTTATACCACATAGAATGACACTTCCTTTAGTGTTGCCAACATACATAAATAAATAGGACCCAACCAGACGGAAGCCATTATTATTGTACTTTGTTTTGTTTTGATTGAGACGATTTGAAATATGTATACCAACAAAGCACCCATGATAGATAATTTTACATATTCGATAATCTCAACAATCTCACCGAGTTCGTCGTAGGCGGTGTGATGCGCAGAAGACTTTAACTCCCGTCTGTTATGAGTAGAGCTGTTGAACCACCAACGATAGGCCATCGGTTTCTAGGGGTTGTGGGAAAATACAGTTTTCTCATTAAAAAGGCGACTTTTTTATGCGAGAACGCGGCTAGCGAGCAGACGGTTCACCTGATGTTAAGTGATAACCGCCGCCCATTGACATTTGCAAGAGCCGTAGGGTTGCAGAGGCGTTGCCATCCCTTAATAAAGTGGGCCCCGGCTACCTCACTCACCAGACGAAACGCAAAAGTTCTTCAAATTTGGTTCACTTCCACTTCAAATTTGGTTATTCCTTTCGCCGAGTAGAGGTCAGCCAAGAATTTTACGAAATACCACAAAACAACGTTTACCGAATCAGCTAGTTAAATAAAACATAGGCTGTTAGTTTACTTAAAATGTGAATTGAGGAATTAGAAATTCTTCACACCATCATTATTGATGTTACATTTCCAACTTGCGAGGGAAAACAAATAAATATTGGTAGTAATACGGTGGTAGGGCCCCGCAGCAGCCTCGGCTGTTGCACGAATGGGCAGGCTCGTCCGGGTAAGTACAACCTCACAGAAGACCGACGAGTGGAAGTATAATACTTTCTCGTTTCGTCTGATGAGTGAGGTGGCCGGAGCCCAATTTTCAATCGTTTGTCAACGCATCTAGAACCCTCGGGTGTAGCAGATGTCCATGAGCATATTCACTTAACATCAAGTGTCTGCTCGCTTGGCAACACATGAAAAAAAAAGTAAAATAAAACATATTATTATTATATTATTTTCATTTCCGATTGACGATCCGAATGGCGTAGTGAGTAGTGTACCTGCCTCCTGCGCCAGAGGATGTGGGTTCGATCCCCACTACTGGAAAATTATTGTGTGATGAACATGGTGTTTTTCTAGTGTCTGGGTGTTTCTATATGTATAATATGTATTTATTTACAAAAGAAAAGTATGTTTAAGTATGTTTATCAGTTTTCTAGTACCCATAGTACAAGCTTTGCTTAGTTAGGGACTAGAAAATGTTGTGTACAAATAAATAAATATATGTTTAGGAGGACACCTCCTAAATATATATTTATTTATTATTATTTCAAGTTTAGTAACTTACCTTGGGATTCGCGTCCAATTCGCATCTTATTTCCACTATCTCCCCTCTAGCGGCGCGGACGAATGTCGTCTCTTCATATTTGCACGTTGGTACATCTTTGGAAAGTGGATTACTATAAAAACTTCGTTATCTTGCAATGTTATGTTATCATAGAATGTCATACAATGTTTTGTTTTCAATGTGAGAAGGTGGCAAGCGGGCTGGCGGTTCACCTGATGTGAAGCGAAAACCCTTGGACATTTGCAACACCAATATATATATATATATATATATATATATATATATATATATATATATTACAAATGAACTTTACATTACGCTTTAGCATTTACATTAGCCTTACCTATAGGCTGTTCTAAAATTCTTTGTTTTGGAAAATTTTATAAACCTGTAAATATTGATGTTCAAAGAATTTAAATGTTTAATACAACTTTAAAAAGTTATCCCCTATATGTGTGTTCATTTATTGTCGCAATTGTAAACACACGCTGTATACATATGTTGCCATCTTTTAATGAAGTGGGCCCCGGGTACCTCACTCAAGAGACGAAACGCAGAACTAAACATTTCTACTTCACGCCGGTCTTCTGTGAGGTCGTGGTACTAACCCTGACGGATCTGCCGTGTATTTCTGACAGGTACTTGCCACCTGATCACATAAAAAAGTTGATACCCGAAAAAATCCTTAAATTAATTTTGTTCAGCAATGTATATTTCCTTGTTAAATTCGAGCCCCATTCAAAACAACTGCTGATAAGAAAAATGCTACTTCGGATATTCTTTTAATGCTTTTTATTTATGAAAAACGAAAGGCGATTATATCGATGTAATTTTAATTATCGTTAAAGTGATTCGCGCACGCAACAAGTAATTTATGATTACATGTTACAAAAAAGAGTTGATTTTATTACAAACATCATGTTACACCGGTCGAACAAGCTCGGTGTTTATAGGTGACTAGCTGCTGCCCGCAAATACGTCTGCGTAGAATGGGCTGAAGGCGTAACATTCAGATAGAAAGACAGAAATATAAATAAAATATGGATATAAATTATAGCCTATGTCTTATTCTGATGTATAAGCTATATTATTGGAAAGTTTCATTAAAATCCATTCAGTAGTATTTGCGTGAAAGAGTAACAAACATCCATCCATACATACGAACTTTCGCGTTTATAATATTATGTAAGGATATAACGCGCGACTCATAAAATATATTTGTAATTACCGCGTGTACATTTTGTTCGTATTATATACTTCTAATACGGAGACCGCAAATAATGGTAAAAAAAATTGTCCCACTGTTTCTTTCGCCGGTTCTTCTCAGGTCAGTGGCTTTTTTCGGAACCGGTAGAAGTATGAATGAATGAATATTGACAATCGATAACTAAGTGTGATGCTTCTATATTGAATAGAGATATTAGAATTTGGCTGTGTTCAATGAAACGCAAATCCTCAGAAATCCAGTGATGATATATGACCTGTCTCTTAAGAACATTATTCGTATATAACATAGAGCCGTGATAACTCATTGGGCCGTCGCTTTGAATATACTCGAGCAACCTGAGTTCGATCTCCGGTGCCGGCACCAATGAAATTGTTAATTTTAAGTGCTGAATTATCACGTGCTCAACGGTGAAGGAAAACCATCGTGAGCAAACCTGCATACTTTCGAAATAATAAAAAAAATATATGAAGTCCTCCAATCCGCAATGGGGTTGAGTGGACTATACTATTACCCTCTGTACAGAGGAGGCCTTTGCCCAGCAGTGGGATAGGCTGTTATTTTACTTTTATGACATATCTTTTTACAAAGAAAACAATATTTATGAATTACCCAGAACCCATTTACAATTCCCAAAGAATAAATAACTTTGTGTAAAATACGTGCAGAAATATTTATTTTTATTCTCTATAATGAAATACCGTAGGGACACAGAGCCCCTTTATTGTTTTGCGTCGAATTCTCGGTCTGCGAAACTGGATATCGGGTGGGTAAGTGTAAGTGAAAATAGATAAAAACATTTCAGTAACAAGATGTACAGAAATCGGCTAGAATGAACCGGATATCCGGGTAAATATAGTGAAGGTGAGGGAGATATACCATTTCGGCATTATAAAATACAGACATCTCGTATGTGTTATATCCGCGTCTTCAATTCGTCACACTCCAATACACCCCAATTGGTTTTCGCAAAGGTGTCACAAGTATTACTTAACAATTTTCGGAGTGTGTCGTACTCTTATGTGACAAGATGGCTAGAGAGCTGGTGGTCCACCCTATGTTAAATGATATCCGCCGCCGATGGACATTCGCAACACCCGTAAGGTTGAAATGCGTTGCCAGCTTTCGATGAAGTTTAAAACGTGGTGGGGCTACGGAACTTCTAACTACGGTGGGCATACTAGCGACCCGTCGTGTATACTACATTTCGTATACTATCTAAACCTTCCACTTAAATTACTCCATCCAATGTAGAAAAGCCCATTAAAATCCGTCGCGTAGTTTAAAAGATCCAAGCGTACAAACATCGGGAGCGGCTTTGTTTTGTACAACGTATAGACGATAGAAGAGTTCTGCCCACTCACATTTCACGTCGAGGGTCAGGGGCGCACTGGTGGTTTGACCCAAGCGGCTTCTCGCCCCACAGCTGTAAGTCCCACCAGTCCGCCTGGACACCTTCTGCAGCACCAGGCTCTGGTTGGCCACCACCACGCCGGCACCGCCCCGTACTGGCGCGTCCTTGGCAACGAACGATAACCTCTTTTAAGTGATAATTTCTTTGAATTGATAATTTCTTTAAATTGATCATTTCTTTGAAGTGATAACTTCTTTGAAGTGATAACTTCTTTGAAGTGATAACTTCTTTGAATTGATACCTTCTTTGAAGTGATAACTTTTTGAATCGATAACTTCCTCGAATTGATAACTTCTTTGAATTGATAACTTCTTTGAAGTGATTACTTCTTTGAAGTGATTACTTCTTTGGGCGCGTTGAAAACTTTTTGGGTGTACAAAAATCATGGAACTCATGTCATCGTCTCCGAACGCTTTCCATGAGCTACTTTTAAAAAGGTATACGCAAAAATATATTTGTATTTATGGCTATGATATAAATATTCCTATCCAGAAAGACATAAAAGTTACTTTTTTTTAAATTTAGGTCACATCTTTACACTGTACTCTACTAGCCCCAAACTAAGCAAAGCTTGTACTATGGGTACTAGATAACTGATAAACATACTTAAACATACTTTTCTCTTGTAAATGAAGAAGAAACGTTCAAAATAAATACATATTGTACATATTTAAACACCCGTACACTGGAAAACACTAATCTTCTACTAATCATCACACAATATTTTTCCAGTAGTGGGGATCGAACCCACACCCTCTGGCGCAAGAGGCAAGTTCACCACCCACTAAGCCAATCGGGTCAATAACTGACAACCTCGTCGCCAACACTCCCTTGTTACCGATTATTTAACTTCCTATTTTTTTTTTTGTAGAAGGTGGTGGTCTTCTGTGAGGTCGTGGTACGTACCCGGACCTGCCCATTCGTGCAACAACCGAAACTATTGCGTGGCCCTACCACAGATAATATCCTTTACAGCACACAAAGCATTTCAAATGACGCTAAAAACGACAACTCTTACATGAAGATGGTAACGCTGACGTGAGACACCGCTGACTCGCGCGATTTGTACTTTAAATATAGCAGGTAATAATTTAAATTTGTTCCATTGCTCATTGAACGAGTTCACACTGGGTACGTTCCATGTCCGCAGTTAGTTTTTGTTATAGTTATATGTTATCTTAAAATGTGTTCGAACGTCACTGTCGCATTAGGTATATCCTGTAATTACTGAGTTATAAACTGTAAGTTGATGTATAAAATAAAATAACAATTTGTTTTTTTTTAAATAACGAAAAACAAAACCGACTTCAAATATCTCGCCCTGTATTCATTTTATAATTGATTTTTAGGACTTCCCTAAGTATCTCCGGAGCCCAAGATCGAATACCAATGAAATTAATATGGGACCACACGGGAAGCACCAGCTTTCAAATAAAAAAGAATCATCAAAATCGGTTCGCTAAGCCAAAAGCTCTGGGGTAACAAACATAAAAAAAAACAGTCGAATTGCGAACCTCCTCCTTTTGAAGTCGGTTAATAAATAAAAAAATTCAACTCACGTTGTGCGTGAACACGACGCCAGTGTGGGGCGGGTTGGCGCGCACTTCGCATTCCATATACACGTCGGAGCCTTCGACCACTTTATCGGGATCGATGTTGGCGCCGAAGCTCAGCTTCACGATGGGCAGATCTGGAAGCGACTCCATTCTAGCATCACCATCATCATCATCATTTTTTAGCCTGGGTCCACTGCTGAACATAGGCCTCTCCCAGACTGTAGAGAAGATCTATTCTGGCGTCACCATCATCACCATTTTAGCCTGGGTCCGCTGCTGAACAGTCTGTAGTCTGTAGAGAGTCTCCCCCAGACTGTAGAGAAGATCTATTCTAGCATCATCATCATTTCTGCCTGAGTCCTCGACTTCCTGCGTATTTGGACAGTTCGTCACTCAACCTAGTGGAGGTCGTCCTATACTAAGATGGCCACTGCCACTCGATCATCACTCCATCTAGTGAGGGCAGTCCTACACTGCGATGATTTCAAGGCTGCCACTCGAACCTTTCTTCCTCAGCTATCGGTTTTTCGAGCTATATGGCCGGCCCAGTGCCACTTCAGCTTACTAACCCTTCGAGCCATTGTAAGCATGTTTGTAGTAAAACTTGCTAAATTCACACAATAACCGAGGGAGAGTAGTAAAACAGCGATTGACGACGAATGTGAGAGACATTAGTATCGAGAATAGTTAACAATCACGACGAAGAACAACATCAGAAATCACAATGGCTCATGAGACGGTAGCATTAGCATCTTTTGTCTCTAACTTTTTTAAGAAATAAGTCTTTATTAATCTGTATGAAATTTATGGAATGCAGAGTATGCATAGCTTTTTGCATGGTTAGAGTGCACAAGAGCCGTGATAGCTCAGTGTCCTTTAGTTCAATATACTCGAGCTGCCCGAGTTCGATCCCCGGTGCCGGCACCAATGAAGTTTTTAACTTTAAGTGCTGACTCTCACCGCGGTGAAGGAAAACATCGCGCGCCTGCATATTTTAGAAGTAATAACAAAAAATTAAAATAACAATATCTCGAAGATATGTGAAGTGCGACAATCCACAGTGGGGCCGCTTGGTCGACTATGCCCTGATACCCTTTGTATAGAGGAGGCCGTTGCCCAGCAGTGGGACATGTATAGGCCGTTACTTTACTTTTTTAGTTTTCAGAGTGCACGCGCATGCTTCTAACTGAATATGAAAACATCTCAGCGGCTTTTAGAACGTGAGGAAATCGTTACACTCTATCTCCGCCCTGATACCCTCTGCACAGAGGAGGCCTTTGCCCAGCAGTGGGAGATGTATAGGCTATTTTTATAGTGCACACGCATGCTTCCAACTCTTGTAGAATATGAGGAAAGCGTTACACTCTATCTCCATAGTCCAGCCGTCCTCTCGCGTGGAGTGAACCAGCGTTGGCTGCACCGCTCTGCAAGACAGCACTCTCCCACTGTCTTCGATCTTCGGCGAGAATGTCAGCACGCTGCTGGTCACGTTGCCGTCCAAGGAAGTCTATTTAAAAAATATATATATTTTTAATAGAAGTATGGTTACGGAATGTGAGAAGACGGCAAAGAAGCAATTGGCAGTCTTCGCCGTTGCACAAATGGGCAGGTCAGACCGCGGAAGTACCACGAACTCACAGAAGAACGGCGGAAAGTGAAAGTATATGCTACCAATTTTCACCATAGCAAGGGTTGACTTGTAGAGAATGCCAAAAATTACATGTCACGCTTTTTTGTTCATTTTTTTTGTAAACTGTCTACATTTCCCTTTGTTTTACCCAAGAACTCTTCACAAAACACCAGCTGCAGGTATAGTTAGTATTTTACTGCAGTAGTATCTTGTTTTATCAAATTCAAAAATTTATGTTTGCTAATCAAATATAAAACGGTATACAGACGATAAATCTGATCAAGCATTTTGTAATTTCGATACGTAAGGGAAACCGATAAAATACTTTTAGTCAAAGTTAATTTAATTAGGAAAACTCGTTAATAAAGTAAATTGCTCCCTAAATTCAAGATACCGCTTTCGAACAGAAGCATATTAAGTATATTGAAACCGTAATTATTATGGCCGTTGCGTTAATTGACACCTTCGTATATTAACTCTCGCTCGCGACTGTACCTTCGCTTAATTGGTGTTTAATTATTTGGACGTTTTCTTAATGAGGCACCTGATAAAAATTAATTGGAAACAGCGCGGCCCGTCCTTAAGGTTTGTAGTGAATTGATGAATTTATAACAATAACATAAATTAAATAAAAACTGTTGTAGATACAACAGCTAGTCATACATGAACGTTATTAACATTTTAAGCTGTCTGTCTGTCACAACACACGGCTCAACGGCTTTCGATAGAAACGCTAAGGTTTAAAACACTAATGGCGCAGTTGTCAAAGCATTGGGTTCGGCGCTGCGGATCGTGGGTTCGATTCCCACACGAGGCAACTATTTTTGTGACCCACAGATAATTGTTTCGAATCTGGGTCTTTATACGTGAAACTTATGTAGGACGAGTATGTAAAAAGTCCTTACAACACAGGATAATGTTATCCTACATTAAGGGCAATTTTATTGAACCACACTCTTGTTTTTAGGGTTCCGTCTTCTCCTTTGGGTGCGGAACTCTGAAAACAAGAATGACGCTCGACTCACCGAGTGCGCGACGGTGTTCAGCTTGACCTGGCCCTTCCACCAGGAGAGAGTGGGCGAAGGTCGAGCCCCCACAGCCAGGCAGCTGAGAGACGCAACCCTCCCAGCCACCAAGGGGCGTGGACCACCGTCTATTCGCACCCACAGCGGCCGCACTGTCCCGTAACGTAAATTACAAGTACATTTTTACTAACAAAAAAAACAAAAATGTCTTCAAATATCCCACTCGCTACACATTTTCTATTTGATTTTAAAGAGTTGTGTGTATCTATGGAGTGTCAATTACCAATTGATATGACCTCAGCCGATCCCAATGCAAGAAGAATTAAAAATCAGTTCATAAATGACGGAGTGCTGAGCTAAAAAGTATAAATAAACGTTTGAGTAAAATGCGCCTTTCATTAATAAATCAATGAAAGGCTATTCATTTTGAAGAGCAGCAAATATGTCTTTTTTCAAGTTGTATACTATGGCCTAGCACTAAAAATAAAATTATTCCCTAATATATTTTATTTCACATTAATATATCACCTTTCGATGACAGGTCACAGCACTGTAGGAAATATACGAACAGGTAACTAACTATATTACATTCGTACATTTGGTATGGTCCTATCACCATCACATCTTAGAAGACTACCGTATGAATCATAAATGATCTATAAATGTTTTACTAACGAATGAATAAGAACCAGTTTGTAGTGCATAAATAATTTTAATTGTATTGAAAGCTATGTTCCAAAGTTTTTATCGATATTTCCTTCGTGCTATGTAACACATATGAGAATGTAATTGATTATAGAAATTGCACAAGATTGAACATAAGTATGCACACAACTTTCAGACAAAATAGCATAATTAAAACATTGTAAAATATTAACAATATTTGGCAACATCTAATTTAGAAATTTTTTTTTGCATTTTACTTTCAATCACAAATGTGGGAATCGAACCCACACGGCAGTACCCAAGACAGTAAACTATACGCTCACATATGATTAAATAAATGTTCAATGTTACGAACTATCAGCAATAAATCATTCGTTCAGATTCAGACATTCAATCGTTCGTGCCGAATGAATTAACAAATGTCGTTCACTCACGGTTCATGTCGACGGACAGCGTGCGGGTGAGGGGCTTTATCGAAGGATCCGTCACAGCCTGTTAAGGACAATTAATCAATTATAAATAATCAAATCGAACAGTATCGATTCGTGAATATTATTCTCCTTTTTTTATGCGAAAAGTTGCCAAACGAGCAGACCTGTCAGATGGGTCACCTGATGTTAAGTGAATACCGCCGCCCATGGACATCTGCTACACCCGAGGGTTACAGATGCGTTGACAACCTTTTGAAAATTGGGCTCCGGCTACCTCACCAGACGAAACGCGAAGGTATTTGTCATACTTCCACTTTACGCTGGTCTTCTGTGAGGTCGTGGTACTTACCCGCACGGGCCTGCCTATTCGTGCAACAGCCGAGGCTGCTGCGTGGCCCTACCACCGTGAAACAGTCTCCTTTCAAGACTTTCGAAATTCGACCACGCAAGCTTCGACTTTTGCACGAATGGACTGGTTCGTCCAGGTGTACGACGAGCTCACAGAAAACCGGCGTAAGTGTTACACTTCTGCAACCGTACGAGTGTTGCAGAAGTGTAACACTTGGACACATGTTAATTGTAACATCAGGCGAACCGCCAGATCGATTGCCACATTCTCACATTAAAAAAATATTAACAATACATTAATAATCCTCAGTAAAGTCTTATGCCCATGCTAGCCGTTCTAGCGTGACATGGAGATTTGAAATGATCTTCGTTTAGTCCATGTTATTCTTAAGGCCCACCCGTTGAGATACACTGTTGAGGTCATGAAGACATAGCTCAGAGGCTTAGTAAGATGAAGTGGCAATAGGCCAAAAGGGCCGCTCGAATATCCGATAACCAATGGAGAAGAAAGGTTCTCGAGTGGCAGCCTCGTATTAGCCACTGTGTCGTTGGTGATGATGAAAGATATGTGAAGTCTTCCAATCATCAGTAAAGACGCGTGTCGGAATATCCTCAGCAGTGGGACAAAATATAATCTATGGGTTGGTACTTGATATAATTGGATATTAAGTAATCATGGTATGCTAAACAATGTAAATCCGATTTGAGCTGTTAGCTACATATAATTCGATATTAAGTAATCAATTATGCTAAACAATGTAAATCCGGTTTGAGATATAAGTTACGCACTACATACAACTAATTATGATTTTTTTTAAGACAAAATGAAATAAAACTAAACATCCGTCTACAGTATAAAAGTAAGAAAGTAATGGCTACTTTTGTAGAAAGGTTTGATACCCTCTGTACAGAGGAGGGCATAGTCCACCACTTCGGATTGGCCGACTTATAACTTCTTACATAAACACATACATAAAATACACACACAAACACACATTAAATTTTCGTTTTAAATGAGATAATAATATTTTATTGAAAAAAGAAATAATTAAAATATTACATCACCATACTCCTGCCCTTTTCCCAATTAGGTGGGGTCGGCACAATATGTGAAAATTCCGTGGCGCTGTAGCAAAGGCTTCGGCGTCGGGGGTCGTGGGTTCGATTCCCACACGAGACAACTATTTGTGTGACCCACAGTTGATCCGCATCTGGGTGTTTGTCCGCGTTAAATTTATGTTTCTAAAAACGTCCTTACAACACAGGATAATGTTATCCCAAAGTAAGAGCAATGTTTTATTAAAACCAAACAAACAAACACCGAGATCGGGAACAGTTATCTGTGGGTCACACAAATACTTGTCCCGTGTAAGAATCGAACCCACGGACCCCGACGCCGGAGCCAAATAGCTGCACGACAGCGCCACCGAGTAAGCTAACAAATACTTAGGTATGTAAGTAGATACGTAAATGTAATAGACGTTATATCACTAGCCCATTCGGCCAAGTGCCAAGAACGCTAGATGCAATCTGCGGTCGGTATCGAGTTAAATATAGATCAGCATATTCGTATTAACTTAAATGGAATTGTGCTAGGTGGAAGTTGCAACGCAGAATAATCTTATGCCACCGTGGAGCGATATAGCTTAACATAATTGCTTGCTTGCTTTAAACTCTAGTACCTGGAGGACCGAGCTTTGTTCGGTTTTTTTTGGTAAATCGTGTATTTTGGAAATAAAAAAAGTAAAAAATAAAGAAAATGATCTGGTATAGAAAAAAAAGTAAAAATAATCGAGATACGAACCGCGGCCGTCTGTTTTGGGGCCGCCCGATTACCGACCGAGCTATTATAACTTTTCATTACCCCCGAATCTACGCACATACTAAATTTCATGAAAATCGCTGGAGCCGTTTCGTAGGAAACCTGCATATTTTGGAAGTAATGATTAAAAAAATATATTCGAAAGATATTTGAAGTCCGCCAATGCGCTATGGGGCCGTGGGGGACTACGCCCTAATACCCTCTGTACACAGGAGGTCTTTTCCCAGCAGTGGGACATATACAAATAATAATAATAATATATTTCGGGACACATTTTTACACAACATTTCACAACAACGCTTGTACTCGATACTAGATAAGTGACAAACATACTTAAACATACTTCTTTTTTATAAATAAATACATAATATGCATATACAAACACACAGACACTGGAAAGACACTATGGTCACACAATATTTGTCCAGTAGTGGGGATCGAACCCACTCACCCCATATATAGGCTGTCATTACTGCGGAAGTAACAAAAACTATGTCGAAGTTACCTGACATGTGATTTCAGTGCCGTAGTCGGTTCTTCGAAGGTGAAATGAGGCAGTAGCTTTGCCCTCGGCGTTGTCCAGAAGCGAGTGGGACTTCCACCACGAGACCCTTGGGGTGGGACGCCCTGCAACAGAAACCTGTGAGGAGGACGCTCGATCGACCGGCTCAAAGTCGCAGAAACGAAACGCTATGACTCTTCCAATCTTTTATGTGAGAAGGTTGCGAGCGAGATGGCGTTTCACCTGATGAAATTCGCAGAAACGAAACGCTATGACTCTTTCACTTGTTTATGTGAGAAGGTTGCGGCCGAGATGGCGATTCACCTGATGTCGAGGGCTGCAAATGCGTTGCCATATTATAATAAAGTGGGCCCCGGCTACCTTACTCACCAGACGAAACGCAGAAGAATAATATTTCCACCTCACGCCGGTGTTCTGTGAGGTCTTAGTACTTCCCCGGACGGACCTGCCCATTCGTGCAACAGCGAAGACTGTTCCGGGGCCCGGCCAGTTTTGGCTGTGTTAAGCTCGCCGGCTGGCTTATTGAACCTCAAAAAATTACCACCGGTTCAATAATTTTCGACCAGTACAGTGAATAACTTGTAGGGAACTGCGCTCTTGTAGTATCTTTTCAGAGGTCGTTCAGAGTATAATTTGGTTGGCTGGAACGATGGTGATGCTCTTTTTGTCTCTTGTGGTCTTTTGCACTCCGTTTATTTGTAACTGCCAGTTTAAAACAGACATTTACGAACTACACAAGCGTTCTTACAATACAACAACTTTACAATACAACAATGTATTTTATTATTAAGTAGTAAATATAAATTCTGAAGTAATTCTGAAAAAAAGAAATATTTCTACACAAAAAGAATATTTATACGCATCGTAATCTAGTCGCAAACCAGGCAAGGCTTCTTCTGTCTACGAGGTAACTAATAAGCATGCTTAAGCACACTTTTCTTTTTATTTTTTAATAAACACAATAAATGCATAAACACGCGGTGATTAGATCCACTATGTTAACACAATAATGTGCGGATCGAACCCACACCCTCCGCCATAAGAGACTGGTCCACTACAAAAATCGGATGCAATGAGATATCAGAATAACAGGTCCATTTTTACTAACGAAAAACAAAACCGACTTCAAATATCTCGTTTCATATTCATTTAATAATAGATTTTTTCCATTTTCATTTAATAATAGATTTTTAGGATTTCCCTAAGTATCTCTGGAGCCCATCATCCAATACCAATTAAATTATTATAGGACCACATAGGAAGAACCAGCTTCCGAATAAAAAAAGAATCATCAAAATTGTCAATCAAAGTTCTGAGGTAACAAACATAAAAAAACACAGTCGAATTGAGAACTTCCTCCTTTTTTGAAGAAGGTTAAAAATTATAGGGAGAAGCTTACCGCCAATAGCAATACAGGTCATATTCACCGGCGTGTCTTCGTCGTAAGGGCCCAGCACAGCGCCCTCGATTTCCTGACCGTCCTGGTTCAGTATAAGCAGCCTCTCTGGCGGTACTGTCGACAAAACAGTTGTAAACCTTTCCAGCACGTTCAAAACTCAGCGTCTAAATACATATCAACGCCCGGTTTCTGAAACATTGATCAACGTAGCAGTTAATTAACCAGCTGTCAAATTGCTTTTTGTCATTTGAGTTGACAAAGGGATGGTTAAACTATTTGAATTGATCATTGTGATCATTAAGAAGATCATTCTGATCAATTCAGAGAGTTTAACAATCCATTTGGCAACTCAAATGACATTTGAAAAGCCATTTGATTTTTATTAGCCCACAGCTGATTAGTTAGCTTCTATCATGATCAGTGTTTCTGAAACCGGGCGATAAACTTCCAAAACAGAAATATATATATTTTTCCAACACATCAAAATTTAGTTTCTACTAAATACCGATTTGAAATATTTTTCTCGATTAACAAATATGGTTGAACTCCGCTATGGCATCTATCTACCACATGGGAAAACATTTGTGTGACCCACAGATAGTTGTTTCACCGTTTGTCCTGTGAAATTTATGTTTGTAAAATGTCTTCATGAAATATAAGGGAATACATGGGTGTATGTGTAGATTCCCGCGTAAAATTTGACTAGGTTTCACTTTCTAACGGTAAAGAGAATAACATAGCGAATTTAGAACTAATATCTAAAATCAATGTGTTCCTACGTAACAGTCAATACGTACATGATTCTTTTGAAGTAAAACTTCTTTAGGCGCGACTAGGGAGTAACTCAGATTTTTTCTGACGAAAGTAACGTCTTATTTTGAAAATATGACATATACTTATGACGTTACTAAATATTTAATAATTTCAGTGATATATGCCGTCAAGGCCAAAGAAGTTTTACTTCAATCGCGCGTAAAGGTTACACGCACACACTTTTTTTATGTGAGAAAGTGGCAAACGAGCCGGCGGTTCACCTGATGTTAAGTGATAACCGCCGCCAACACCCGCAGGGTTGCAATTGCGTTGCCGCCTTCAAATAAATTGGGGCCCGGCTGCCTCACTCACCAGACGAAACGCGGAAGTGTAACACTTCTACTTTACGCCGGTCTTCTGAGGGGTCGCGGTACTTACCCGGACCTGCCCATTCGTGCAACAGTGAACACTGTTGCGGGCCCCTACACAGTCTACACTGTTATAAAAGAATCATTTTAAAGAGTACCTACTAAGCACTGTTAGGTTGAGTCTCGTGTTCTTCGTCGGTGACTTTATGAAGTCCACTCTACATCTGTACTGACCGCTATCTTCAGGCCTGCGAAAATAATTATTAAACTACTCGTAAGTGTTTGAATGTTAAAAAGGATATATTATATATATATATATATATATATATATATATATACAGCGTGTCATTACCACCGCGACAATAAATTAACACACATATAGAGGATTACTTTTTAAAATTGTATTAAACATTTAAATTCTTTAAACACCAATATTTACCGAGTTATTAAATTAATAAACAATTTTAGAACACCCTTACGTATAAAACTGTAACGTAAAGTTCATTTGTAAAGGTCACAAAGCATATGAATGGGTTGAATGGATTTAAAAGAGACAAAACATACTGTTAGAAGGAGAGGTTTGTAATGCGACGCTGTGGCGCAAATTGTATAGGATGTTACAAATTTTGTTTTCTTTTTTACTTAATTAGTTTGTTTGAAAAATATTTTTTTAATTATGGATTTTGTTTAACGTTAATATTTTTTTATGATTATTGGCAAGTAGCGTTAGACGTGTGTTCATTTATTGTCGCGATGGTAACGACACGCTGTATGTATATATGTATATATATATATATATATATATTATTTCTATATGCATTTTGCTATTTTCTGCACTGATTTGCACTACTAATTTAAATAATTTGTAGAAAAATGGCCGACCAGTTTTTTATTCATATTAGAACCTGAGTTTTCCGCAATATGCGCACTACGCTCTAGCCACTGAGCGGAATGGCATAATTTCACACCAACAAAAATCTCAAGATAAAAAATATTATATCTATCTAGGTATGTCGACGAGACAACCCGCGGGACGAAGGTTCGAATCCTCGTACCAGCCAAAAGCATTTCGTCCATTTATCTACAAATTTTAGAATGGTACACGTTTGCGTGCAAATTTAACTTTGCTTGTATAGAATGAATGAATGAAATTGTATTGTATTCCCCGTTCCCCGATATTTTAAAGACTTTACGGAGTAAAGTCCCGAGTGCAAACTTAACTACGAACTTTATTTTTTAGAAAAAGAAAGGAAATTCTTACGCCCACGTTCGTCTTCCGGATTCGCAAAATTCAACGGCTGAAGACTTTTCGTTCTTTTTTACACAAATTTTAATGTTTCCCCTAAGTGCAGAGATTAGCAATATTGAAAAGTAGTAATAGTTTATGTATATTTCTCTCTAGGTTTCAAACATTAATTGAAAAATAATAAGAATATTTTATATGTTTATTAATTTTAATTATTGACTTAAAAAAAAATCGTCCAGATCATATGGATTTCTTGTTTTAACACGAATATTATATATATTATACACAATGAAATGAAACAAGTTCACTGATTATTTCGTAGTCACGTGACAACCAGAGTTGTATCACGTCCTAATGTCAGAGTTGACAACCTGTCACGTGACCATAAACACTGAAAAGGGGGAAAACTCGTAAAATACTTTAATTTAACCTTGTCACGATCATTTAAAACTGTAGTTATAAATAATAAACACTGGAATTTGATGGCATACAACAGCTTTCCCTGCAAAGCGAGTAAGTGATGTCAACTCGGAACTTAGAAGAGTTTAAACCTCCCGTTGTAAATTACCTTTGCGAATTGATCTGGTTGCTCACAAGTTGGTCAATGTTCTAACAACGTTTTATTCACGATTCTATTCACCCACTGCACTGATTGCGTAGTATTGTTATAAGTGTAATAATCGGAGACACGATTTTTTTTTTATTTTTATGTGATGCTATTTATTTGATGACTCACGCCCGGTTTCTGAAACACTGATCAATTTGATCATTAATAAGATCATTCTTATCAATTCAGAGAGTTTAACCGTCCTTTTGGCAACTCAATTTATTATATTGATATTTGAAAAGCCATTTAACAGCTGATTAGTTAACTTCTACGATGATCGGTGTTTCAGAAACCGGGCGTCAGTGGCGCTTAGCTATTGGCTCCCCTGGGTTCGCAAGTACTTCTGCGACCCACGGATACTTGTCCTGGACCTGAGCGTTTGCTGCCAAGAGTTGATGTAAGGCAGTCACCTCACGTAGGTGAAGTCGGAACGACCTGAAACCTTAGGAGTCCCTAAGTTGCTATTGGAGAAAGAAGATGTACGTCCATTTATTTAATGTGGATGTTCATGCAAGACATATTCGTTGACAGTATGCGTCTAACGAGGCGGCAAGTTGAAAACGTAGCGAGAAATCAAAATATTGCCTATTTACATCAACCTTGACCTGGATTAGCAATCGAGTATAAAACTCACGATTCCGATAAATTTCGAATGGGTGTCATCAACTCCTTCCAATAATTACTGTCGCCTAAAACGTTTGGTCGAGATAGCCGCTTAACGAGCTTCCTCGAAAACTGGTTGGGGAGTCTTTCATTGCCCAACGAACTACTGTTTTATTGAATACCTCTCTCTCTCTCTCATACCATAATACCACCAAAATTATTCTTTATTAAGTAACTTTAACAATAAATTCGCAAAAACAATGAAGATAAAATACGTTGAGATTTTCGCCGGTGTGGAATTCGGCCGTTTAGCTTAATGGTTAAAGCGGCTAAGCACAAATCTGGCGATGTAGGTTCAATTCCCCAGCGGCCAATGTCTGTAGTAAAAATTTTCATGGTATAAAACTAGTTACAAATAAATATATCGAATCATAGTAAGCAAAGCTTGTACTATGGGTGCTAGGTACCTAATGAACACACTTTTCTTCTGTGAATAAATGCATATTACAAATATACAAACACCTAGACACTGCAAAAACACTCACCAGAGTGTGTACACACTCCTGGTGCAAGTGTTAGGTTTACTATCCACTACGCCAATCACGTCGTCTTCAGTTTCGGATGTTGAAGTGTATAATATGCAGAAATAATACATATTAAACCTTTGTTAATTTTTCTGTTTTTATTCTACATTTAACTGATAGGGACACATCACTCATCACATAATGTAAACAATTTTTGTTGTATTTTTCATAACTTCATTTTGAAGGCAGGCAATGGTTTCAATTCATTCTGCCACAGGTAAAATTTATTATTGTTTAACGTTTTTCTTTTGTTTTGGATTGTATTAACTTTTTTTTTCTCCTTTTATCATTTTTTTTTTAATTTGTAGCTCATTAATAATCTAATCTTCAAATGTTTTAACTTACAATAATTTTTTTTTTGTTAATTGTAATAATAAGGATTGGCTACAACTGAAATTAATAGTGCATATTTATATCCTTTTGTATATTTTTTGTTGTTCTTTTTTTTTTTATTATTATTATTATAATGTTAATTTCTTATTTGTAAACTGTCAACTGTTGGGATGGTGCATAGTAGATATGGTGTTTGTTTTTCTGCTTTACATAAGCTATTCAGTAGTTTTTCTGTATTCTTTGTTTTACTTTAGGTTTTTATTTATTTATTGCATATTACATAAAATTTTATTTATTCAAACAATTAATATTTACACATTCTTATTGTAGTTATGTCGGATAATGATTCTTTTTATTCCGCCAATGATTTACATTCCTCGTTTGCTTCTTGTGATCTTTTGAATGAGAGCATGCTCTCTTTACGTGATAGGCTCATGAGTGCATTTACATCCTGTAGTAAATTGTTTAACGTATGCCACATCAATGCGCAAAGTATTCCTAGTCATTTTTCGGACTTTGAGGATGCATTGTCATCTGTATACGTCCATGCGATTCTAGTATCTGAGAGCTGGCTAAAACCTTCTTTGATGTCCAGTTCATATCCTCTTTCCGACTTTGTACTGATTCGGAATGACCGGACGGAGAAGGGGGGAGGCGGGGTTGCTATATACTTGAGGGCTAATATACCTTATAAGATTGTCTTTGCATCCCCCTCTCCTTATTCAGCTTCTGCTGAATATTTATTCCTTGAAGTTTGTGTACTGGGCATAAGGGCGATTTTAGGGGTAGTGTACTGTCCCCCCTCTGTTGATTATTTCATTTTCGATTTTGAAGCTGCTCTTGATTCAGTTTGCTCTGAGTACACGCACTGTATGATAATGGGTGATTTCAACACTGATCTGTTAAAAAATACATCTCGTTCTCAAAAACTTCGATCAATTATTGACTCAGTCGACCTCCATATCCTGCCGTTAGCGGCAACTCATCATAATGTTCACACTGATGATTCATGGATTGACCTCATTATAACAGCTTCCCCTGACCGAGTTATGAAGCACGGTCAGCTATCTGCTCCTAGCTTTTCCCACCATGACTTAATTTATTTTTCCTATAAACTTATCCCTCCTAAACCTATTCCCACATTTTTGCACTTACGAAACTTTTCAAGAATTGAGTTGGAAAAACTGAGAAGTGACGCATCGCTCATCGACTTCACCCCTTTAGCTACTGCGCCTACGATTGATGATAAAGTGGTGCTACTAAACAATATGGTACTTAACTTGTTTAATACTCATGCACCTGTACATCTCGTAAGGGTAAAGCGTCCTCCCGCTCCATGGATGTCTAGAGGCGTTAGGGTGGCAATGGCGAGACGGGATCGGGCCTTTGCGAAGTTTAAACGGGAACGTACGGAAGAGAATTGGTTACATTTTAAATCTCTTAGAAACAGATGCAATCAGATGGTACGAAATGCTAAACGCCGTTATATCCATGCCAATATTAGTAATTCTTCGTCCGCTGATGTATGGAAATTTCTTAAATCTCTTGACATCACCAAGCCGTGCCCATCAGATCATTTTTCTTCGCTCTCTTTAGATGACATTAAGCAACATTTTATTTCTACTCCATCTATGGACCCTACTATCCGCTCTCAAACAATTACTTCTATTGGTTATTTGTCACCTCTTCAAATTCCACATTTTCAGTTCACACCGGTAAATCTCAATGTCGTTAAAAACACTATAATAGCAATCAAATCTAAAGCTGTGGGAAGCGACGAGGTTAGTAAACAAATGATTACAATGATCCTGGACTACCTTTTACCTGCAATCACCCACATAATCAATTTTTCTTTGGACTCTGGTGTTTACCCATCCTTGTGGAAAAGAGCTTTTGTTCTGCCACTTGCCAAAATCCCCAATCCTTCTTTGCCTAACCACTTTCGTCCTATTTCTATTCTTCCATTTCTCTCTAAATTTCTTGAGGCCTGTGTTCATAAGCAAATTTCCGTATTTATTGCTAAACATAACCTATTGAACTCTTATCAATCTGGGTTTCGTCCGGGTCACAGTACCACCACTGCACTTATTAAGGTCACCGATGACATACGAAAAGGTATGGATGTTCAAAAGCTCACAGTGGTGGCGCTTGTGGACTTTTCTAACGCTTTCAACACAGTTGACCATGAAATCCTCAGATCCTACCTTACTTACCTTACCTTAGATTTTCTACCCCAGCTTTGGATTGGTTTTCCTCCTATCTTCGCGATCGCCAACAGTCGGTCCGCTTAGGACAGCAGTGTTCTGCCTGGGCGGACGTTGATTCTGGGGTGCCGCAAGGCGGTATACTTTCTCCTATCATGTTTTCATTGTTTATTAACTCTATAACCTCAGTTATCAATTGTTCGTATCATCTGTATGCTGACGATCTACAGCTTTACGTCCAAACAGATATTAATGATCTTAATAACAGCATAATAACCCTTAATAACAATCTGGAATCAATAAGAGATTGGTCGCACAGATTTGGAATTACCGTTAATCCTTCTAAATGCAAAGCTATTATAATTGGTGGTCCAAGGATGCTTGCCAGGATTGATTATGGTAGCCTTGTCCCTGTCACTTACAATGGAACGTTAATTCCGTTCTCTGAATCTGTTAAAAATCTTGGCTTGTATTTGGACCAGTCGTTTAGTTGAGAAACACAGGTTGCCGCAGTCAGCCGGAAAGTCGTTGCCACCTTACGTTCTCTCTATCGCCTTAAAAATTTTCTGCCCCATAAAACTCGCATCCCGCAACATTATACAGGATACTTTAACTCTTCTTTTATTGTTCAAGCTACACTCCTCTGAAACGCCCTTCCCGATAAGATCAAAATAGCTCCAAATAAATATACATTTAAAAAGTTAGTTCGAGAATACCTATTAAATCAGTGATTTTGTTTGGCTTATCCCATGCTCGGTTTTTATTATCCATATATGTACATCTACAATATTTATGTATATATATAAATATATATATGTGTGTATATTTATGTATATATTCATCCATACATGTATGTCATATATATGTAGTTTATGATTAATAATATTTATATACATATACGTATATATCCACACATTATATTTAATTTGATTTTTATTTATATATTTTCCTACTTTTATTTACTTTAGTTTTAGCACCTGCCATCTACTTCTCACCATGACAAGGGTTGACTGGTAGAGAATGCCACTAGGCATTAAGTCCGCCCATTGTAGCCTTTAGCCTAAGGTGTAAAAATGAAGTATAAATAAATAAATAAATAAATAGAAGAAAATTAATTATAAATAAATAAGTACATATTTTGACTGGCTGTGTACGCGCGGGCACCAATAGGCGGAGGGTAGTAGTACCCAAGTCATCACTAGTTTAGCTCCGACCACAGAGGTGTGAAGACGTGTGCGCAAGCCGTTCCGTGTGCGTTGTGGCAAATTAGTCGAAGTATTATTGATCGGTTCTTAGTTCCCAGCACAATTTGATACACAATAGATGTGACGATCGGTTGCAATAGATCGATGCCTAGAAAGTTCACATTATACACATAATGGTTATTAAGAAAGTAACGGGAAATAATAGAACTATTTATTTACATATTTAGTTGTATCGCAATTAGACATTTAAAACACTAATGCCACGACGATAAAGAAATAGGAGACTAACAAAGTTGTTTTCGATTAAATTACAACTACTACTAAATGATAGTAATATTACTACTTTCAAGTGGCAGCGCTATTAAAAGTTATTATATGTCTATTGACATTTGAACAACTATAAAATTGGTTTCATTCCTTTTTTGATGCCACGACGATCAGGGAGCACAAGAGTTACGAAGTTGTTTTCGATTAAAATTAATTACTACTAATTATTTAGAGCCGTGACAGCTCGTCCGGGCGCTCGCCTTTAATTCAATATACTCGAGCCACCTGAATTCGATCCCCGGTGCCGGCACCAATGAAATTGTTAGTTTCAAGTGCTGAATTATTACGTGCTCAGCGGTGAAGGAAAACATCTTGAGGAAACCTGAATATTTTCGAAATAATAATAAAAAAAATATTTCGAAGATATGTGAAGTCCGCCAATCCGCAGTGGGGCCGCGTGGTGGACTATGCCCTGATATCCTCTGTACAGAGGAGACCTTTGCCCAGCAGTGGGATATGTATAGGCTGATACTTTACATTTTTACTACTAATTAATATTACAATTATTGACAGTACTCAAATGTCTAATTACTAATGTACTACTGCTTATTAACTGTAATATTAGTAATTAGTACTAACTGCATTATTAAATGGCGGCTAACATAGTCCGATTAAATAGGTTCCAGTGAAATATTGATTCCCTCAAATTGAATGTATTATTTATGTATTATCTCATTCTACGAATATAAATAACATTTATAAACGTGACTTTCTTAATGCATGGACATAAAAATTGTGTTCTGCATAAACATTTTTTTAAGGTTGACAAACGAGCAGGCGGTTGACCTATTATCTTATGTTATGTTACCTATTATGTTATATTATGTTTATGGTTTTATGTGATCATAAGCACGGACATCTTAAACACAAGACAGCCGAGGCTGTAGCGTAGCACCACAGAAATAAGACAAATCAAAAGCGAATAGTATACGATTTTACTGCATTTTACAGTAACGATTCCACGCACTATTTTTTCTAACAACAGCACTTCCTACTAAGCATGGTAAAATGTCCGGAAACTCGCTATAAATCCAATAAATTTGATATAAAGCGAGCTGGTTCCAGCTCCAATGAAATTTTCAATTTAAAAAGCTCAATTGTCGCGTGCTCAAAATGTGAATTCTGCCAATTCGCTGTGGGGTCGTGTCGTGGGCAATGTCTTTATACCCTCTATACAGAAGAGGCCTTTGCAGTGGGACTTGGATAGTCTGTTAGATTACTTAACTACTTTTACTAAGCAAACACTATTTATTATTAAAATTTAAGCTTCACTCTGTAAAGGGAGTGGTAGACACCCCGTTATTATGTCCGAAATAGCGTGACACGGCGTTTTGATTGCTTCGGTGTCACAAAATTAACGCGACAACACTTAGGTTACATTATAATAGTTATTTTAAAAAGACATGATAATTTTCTGTTGACATCATTTTTTTTAACGTGAAGAGTTGCCAAGCGAGCAGCTGGTTCATCTGATGTTAAGTGAATACCGCCGCCCATGGACATCTGCTACACCCGAGGGTTGCAGATGCGTACAACCTTTGGAAAAATGGGTTCGGGCTACCTCACTCACCAGACGAATCGCAAGTTTTTATTATACTTCCACTTCCCACCGGTCTTCTGTGACAAGCTTGCGCATTCGTGCAACAGCCGAGGCTGCTGCGTGGCCCAACCACAGCCGACTAATAATAAATTGTTTTAACTAATAAAAATATTACATCTTTCATATTCAACATGAGTATATGTATTGTAAATGATTTTTTAAGACTGGCCGCCTGCCTGACAACACTCTTGGGAATAAACGCTCAAATCATAAAATATCCGTGGGTAAAACAAATACTTTTCCCGTGGGAATCGGAACTACGGACTACGGTTATCACTTAACATCAGGTGAACCGCCAGCTCGTTTGCTAATTGAACAAAAAAAACTGCGCCACCGTCTCATCAAATAAATACACGGGGATGCAGTTAATGGCATAGAACCGTCAACACAAAGTTTGGGCATAGACTAGCTTTGCAAAAAGCAGTTCAGCCCGCACTTGCAAACTAAACGCATTAAAAAGTAAGATAATTCACAAGGGGAGGTTTTAATGGTCTAAATTGCAGGGAAAATTATTGTAGTTTGATATAGCAAATTCCAGTATTTATTATTACTTATAACTAAAGTTGACGTGGTTCAAAATTTAAGAGCTGTGTCTGCATCTATTATTACCTAAGGACTTTAAAACGTTAAATGAAGACCTTGACAATAATTATAGTAAATGTTAATTCTTTTTCAAATTCAAATATCTTTATTCAATATAGGGAGTATTATATACTTACTTATTGATTGTCAAATAACACTACTACCGGTTCGGGAAAAAATCCACCAACCTGAAAAGAACCGGCGATAGAAACTCAGCGGGATAACTTTTTTTTAAACATGATTTGAATAACATAACAAACATGTATACAATATTTCCAATTCCACTTGAAAGTCAAAAGTCTGGGGTGATCATTTTATTTCCAGAGTAAGTTATCATTTAAATAATCACTAATGCTATAATAGCACACAAACATTATTTTACAAGTTTTTTTATTTTATTTGATAATGTGACTATAATTAAAACAAATTAATAAATATGTAAATGAACAGATATTTCAGAACATATTTAGCCAACAGTATCTAATTTCAAACTAAATTAATACATAGGTAATTATTATATTAAAAAATACAGTCGAATCGAGACCGTCCTTCTGTCGTCCTTCCGTCGAAAGTTTCACACTGCTGCCCAAATTTGTACCTGCGACTTACGCGCCCGGCGCTCCAATTTTTTTTTAATCCGTACTATTGCTTTAGATGCGGCGCGCAGCAGTGTTAAATTGTCAACCAATCTATACTCTACTCGTATACATACCTTAATCTCGTCAAGACTAGAACTGCTGGGGCGGCATTAGTCCGGAAGGTTGCCCTCGTGCCCAGGGTTGAAGCGTCGGACCAATGCGAGGTGACGCCTTCGCGGATGTCTAGCCTGCCAAAGAGTCAGTGAAATCGTCGGACTTGCGTATAAGTGTTGTCACTCTGAGTTTAATAAATCAGCATCGATAGCTTAGTGTCCTCTCTCGCTTTTAACTAACAACACTCGGTCAGTCTCATTTCAAATCGCGGTGCAAACGCCAATTAAATTGTTAATTACCATTTTAAATGACTCATCGAGTGCATAGCGGTGAAGGAAAACATCGTCAGGAAACTGCGATAACAGAACTAGGAATATCCGACGAGATGACACCAGTCGCACGACTTAAGACCACGTTATTTAATAACATCCCAAAAATAACCCAACACTTTAAAAGTGTGAACGAAACAGACGTTACATTACACTTTATAAAATTTAAAAAATGCTTCACAAATAACATTACACTTTCAAAGTGTAAAAGAAACCAACATTAGACGTTATAGCATTTATAAATGGTTGTCTCACTTGACCGCTACGTCATGTTGATTTTCCTTTATGAGTGGAGTCACTGTTGGAATTCCGCTGAATTGCAAGACCTGTATGTAAGGCCGTGGAAAAATAAGAACTGAAAATAAAATCGACGAAATATATGCATGCTCCCTTGAAAATTTGTTACAACGCAACATTTTCACGACAACAAAACAACAAGACCGGAAAGTTAGATATTCAGGGTATTCATTCAATGTTTTATGCAAAATGTTCGGATGAACGCAAATATCAATAAACTTGTCGTTCCAATTGTGTAGCGAACGATTTTCACACCGACAAATAATCCCCATCAATACCTTCCTCCAATAACATAAGTAACAGTTGCTTTTCACTCTTAATAAATAAAAACAAGCTTTACAATTAACTATCGTTAGTGATTCTGATTAAAAAAATCTAATAAATAAATGTGTTATAAAGCCCAGATATACAATATACGTTTATGTATACGAATTTGACGTAGCGTGCATCGATGAATGCTTTTTTAGAGTATTTGTACCCGACCCTACTGCGACAAGAACCACAGGTTATGCTCAGGTTACACTCCATCTCTCGTTAGTGGAAAGACTAGTATGTAATGTATGAATTGCTACATACGTCTTTATGATACATACAAATGTGTACATAACCTATTGAATTGTCTTCATTAGTGAGGTCTTACAGCTAATGGACCCCTTTCGTTTTGTTAAGTCGTAACAATGTTCGCGCTCGCTTGCTGATTATTCAATATAGTCTAACTGCCCGAATTCAAATCTCGGTGCCAGCACCAATTTTTTTGTGTTATTTGCAATTAAATGTGCTTATTTGTCTCGTTGCACATTGAAGGAAAACGTCGAGAGAAAACCTGCATACATTTTAAATAATAATGAATATATTTAGAAGATATTTGAAGACCACCAATCCATCCATGTAGGACATAATTATATAGGCTTGTAAGTTTATTTACTTTTTACTATATTTATACCTATTTGATTTGTGAACTGAGAGCATACACATTACATAAACATTTTATAACTTATCTGTTCTTATTATTATCGTTCCAATGTTTAATGGTTTACAAACAACGGAATGCCCTTACTAGAGGGTCCAAACTTTGCATGCTTAGAACATATGCATCAAATGAAATTTCCACAAAGTGAAATGGGGAGTAATAATGCAAAGTAGCGTGTGACAATTCAGAAAATATAACTTTTTAAGGGTCGCTCAAACTGAAAAAACTAACAACAGTTATTTTTAGGGTTAAAACGAAACAGTTGGTGAAAAAGTTAAAAAGAGAACAGGAATTAGTGGTGGCTTTTATATGTCAAATGTTGTGAAGCGAGCAGGCGGTTCACCTGATGTTAAGTGGATACTGCCGCCCATGAGCATATACAACACCCTTTTTTTTTCGTGGAAAAATCCTTTATGGATCCCCTGCCACAGGATCGGGGAAGTGGCAGGGGTATGTGGGAGTCCCGGAGACAGGTACCCACTAAAAAACCCACGTTGCACCTGTCTCTGTCGCATCGGCCGGGGACACAGGAACACGTGGACGCAATCTTCCGCGACTCCGGCGCGACTATGGCCTGTTTAGGCCTCCTCTACCACATGGTGCTTTGCCCGTGCAATTGGCACAGCACACGTCACGGGCCCCATATTGAGCGACAGACAACACACATATACAACACCCTAGGGCTTGAAGAAGAAGAAGAAACGTTTATTCACGGTCTTACTGCAATGAATACATACAACGAATGCTTGCATTTTTAAAAATTTTAAAACATACAAAATAATGAGGCCATATTACAAACAACATTTAAAAAAATGAGGCCGGTTACCTCACCCACTACACGGAACGCGAAAGTTCAATACTTCCACTCGGTACTTCCCCGGACGCGATTATTGTTATTATCGATTTACACTAAAGGGTCAGCAGTCAAACACTTGGGCGTTCGTGCGAAAAGGACATCACTTTAACTATTTTTTTCACGCGAGAAAGTGGCAAACGAGCTGGTGTTTCACCTGATGTTAAGTGATAACCGCCGCCCATGGACATTTGCAACAGCCATAGGGTTGCAGATGAGTTGCCCCCTTATATTTTTTTTTTTAATGTGAAAAGTTGCCAAACGACCAGACGGTTCACCTGATGTTAGGTGAATACCGCCGCCCATAGACATCTGCTACTCCCGAGGGTTTGCAGATGCGTTGACAACCTTTTTGGAAAGTGGGCCCAGCTACCTCACTCACCAGACGAAACGCCGAAGTTTAACCTTTACCTGTACTAACCGGGACGGGCCTGTCCATTCGTGCAACAGCGAACACTGTTGCGTGGCCCTACTATAGTTTAACTATACAAACTATACAACAAATGTACAAACGCTCATCGCTTTAAACCAAACAATGAGTACAAACGTAATGCTATTGACATTTCACGGAGCTAATTAAATAGCAAACGTGATTAGCTAACTTCTCGTATTACAATGTAAACGATTCCACACATTGATGAACAAACTTTATACGTGCGCCTTTTATTTGAACGGGGTGGAGAGCGCTTAACAGTATCCGTTGTCATAATCGCAAGCGTACATACAGGGTGGCTTTTCTAAAGGTGCCCAAAGTCACACAGGAGTTTCAGACTCGGTAGTATAATAAAAGTTAAAGTTACAGCCTACACATGTCCCACTGCTGGGCAAAGGCCTCCTCTATACTAAGGGTATCAGGGCATAGTCCACCACGCGGCCACACTGCGGATTGGCGGACTTCACATATCATCGAAATATTTTTTTTTGTTATTATTTCGAAAATATGCAGATTTCCTCGCGATGTTTTCCTTCACCGCGGAGCACGTGATAAGTCAGCACTTAAAGTTAAAAACTTCATTGGTGCCGGCACCGGGGATCGAACTCAGGTTGCTCGAGTATATTGAATTAAAGGCGAGCGGCGAGCTATAGCGATAGTATAATTGTTTATTGAAATGAAAACAAACTATTTTTTTTTCCAAAAATTGCCATTCCATTCCCTAAAAAACAGAACTTGTTGACAATGCGGAAGTCATTCATAAATGCGTCGTATACTACTATTTTGAAACGAACTTGTGTGCATGTTAGTTATTAATGCGTAAAATAAATGAGTCAGTAAATCACGCACATTTTGAGATAAGTTCAAATAAATGTATTTAATTAATTACCAGTGATATAATTTTTTATATAACATTATTTATGTCTAGAATTTAATAAAAAAAGCTTAGAAAAGCCTTCCTGTATATTATTATGCACGTGTACTCCATACATGCAGAAACCGGCCAAGTGCGAGTCGGACTCGCGCATGAAGGGGTCCGTACCATTACCTTTAAAAACGGCAAACAAATCTTTTTATCTTTTCTATAATTTTTTATTCTCTTTTTTAGTATTTGTTGTTATAGCGGCAACAGAAATACATCATAATTATGTGAAATTTTCGATTGTCTAACTATCACGGTTCATGATATACCGCCTGGTGGCGGACGGACGGAAAGACGGATAGACGGGACAGACAGACAGACAGACACACAGCGGAATAGTAATAGTAGAGCTTAGTAATAGGGTCTCACCTTACCCTTTGGGTACGGAACCCTAAAAAGCTTTGTGTACCACTGTATAGTGGTCCCGAACAAACAGTTACAGTAAAGTTACCTTTTTTTAAAAAGTTAGTTTGAGCCTCTGAGATTTCAATCCAAATCTTTGATCGTAATTCATTTGCTTCTAAAAGATGAAATAGGAACGACACGTTATGTCAAATTGTCAGCTGTCAACTCGACAACTGACATAATCCATTCCAATTTAGTTTAACCGAAGCGCTTTTTATTCCCTGAAGCGGTTTAAGCCTCGATAGCTTAAGCGTTAACTCGCAAAGCTCCATACTGTATAGAAACTAGGCTAGCGTTTTAATTTAGAAAAATAGGTTTCCATTGCGGAAGTTTGAAGGTTCCGCTAGTAGGAGTAAACGTTCATAATGTTAAGTGCCTACAGACGCAATAAACAGAGCCTATTGTGTCTGTATGCTTTGCTAGTGAGTGTATTCGAGTAAGCAAGTCAACCTTATTCCTAACTAGCGACCCGCCCCGGCTTCGCACGGGTGCATTCCTGAATGTTTGTTTTCGACATAGCATTAGAAACCTATAAAATTATCAATGTTTCTCTACTATATTATGCATGAATTATACAGATAAACCTTCCTCTTGAATCACTCTATCTATTAAAGAAAACCGCATCAAAATCCGTTCCGTAGTTTTAAAGATCTAAGCATACATAGGGACAGGCAGACAGCGGGACGACTTTGTTTTATACTATGTAGTGATGGAATCTATACGCAGCTTGACATTTTATTACGTCATGCATGTTTTTAATTTCGAGGTGGATATTGTATTTTTGAAGTAGAAACGATAGATAGAACTTATGAATGCTACTGACGTTCTCCGATAGTGCATTGAAGCTGACATGGAAATTTAGGAATAGTAATAAAATTGCAAATCCTAACTATAATCCTTACTTCCTTACTAATATTATAAACGCAAAAATTTGTATGTATGGATGGATGTTTGTTACTCTTTCACGCAAATACTACTGAATGGATTTCAATGAAACTTTACAATAATATAGCTTATACATCAGAATAAGACAAAGGCTATAATTTATATACATATTTTTTATGTATATCTGTCTTTCTGTCTGAATGTTACGCCTTCAGCCTATTCTACGCAGACGTAGTCGCGGGCAGCAGCTAGTAATTAATATTCAACAAGTTTGGTTTTAAATCCCTTACGTTGTTCAGTCATTGAGTGTGTATTAGAAAGACCCAGAGAAATAGAGTAGAGAAGTGAGTCGCTTCGTCTCTCAACTGGAGATGGCACAAACGCTTTTTCCTTACGTGATGACTTCTACGAAACAATTTTCTTTCCGATCTCCTGCAAGAAGCGCTAAGGAATTTCGATCTGACAAACTCACACATGCCAGATTGAACTAAACACAGAGCAGAAATCCACGTCGCTTATTTACTTACAAAAAAGGCAGGTGTAGCAGTCGTAGTCTTGAATTCGGACCAATAAACTCAGACTACGGACTATCTTCATGGCGGTAGCGTTACGACACAACCTCTGTTGAACGAATGGGGAGGCTCGACCGGGGAAGTACCGCGACCTCACAGGAGACCGGCTTAATTTTTTTTTAATGTCAAAAAGTGGCAAACGAGCTGGCGGTTTACCTGATGTTAAGTAATAACCGCCGCCCATAGATATTTGCAACACCCGTAGTGTTTCAAATGCTTTGCCACCTTTAAATAAAGTGGGCCCCGGCTACCTCACTCACCAGACGAAACGCAGACGTATATATATAACAATTCTATTTTACGCCGGTTTTTTGTGAGGTCGTGGTAACTACCCGGACGGACCTGCCCATTCGTGCAACAGTCAAAACTGTTGCGTGGCCCTGCCACAGTTAAAAAACTTAAGGCTCAAAGTGGTATTACACTTCAGCGTTTCGTCTGGTGAGTGAGGTAACCGGGGCCCACATTCAAATAGGTTCGCACGTCCAACCATGTGCCGTATATGTCCAAGTGCGGTAGTCACTTAAGGTCATGTGAATGATCCTGCGCGCTTGCCAAATTTTTACATTAAAAAAACTATGAACTACTTACATATCTACGAGTTATATAGTAAAGAATCAGCGTATTAATGTCCCACTGCAAAGGCCTACCCCGTAGAGAGGGTATTAGGGCATACTCTACCATGCGAACCCGCTGCGGATTGGCGGACTTCACACATCTTCGAGATATTTTTTTGTTATTATTTTGAAAACCCGCTCCACCGCTGAGCGCTTGATAAGTCGTCACTTATAAATAACAATTTCATCGGCACCGACACCGGGGATCGGACTCAGGTTGCTCGAGTATATTGAATTAAAAGCGAGCGCTGGACAATGAGCTATCACGGCTTTAAGGAGATGAAAGCAACTCACGAGTAAATTGGAGTCTCGTGACCCTGCTTGTACCAGATCACGAGTCCGACCCTGTCCTCGGCGATTGCTGGGTGGATGTCGCAGGGCAGCTCCACGCTTCCACCGGTCGGCGCATGCACCGACTCCACTTCCACTGCAAGAGAATGAGCACACAAGGTCAAAACTTCACTACATAGAATAAAACAAAATCGTCCCGCTGTCCCTATGTATGCTTAGATCTTTAAAACTACGCAACGGATTTTGATGTGATTTACTTTAATAGATAGTGATTCAAGAGGAAGGTTTATATGTATAATTCATGCATGATATAGTAGAGAAACACTGATAATTTAAGAGGTGCGATGTCGAAAACAAGCATTCAGCATTGTACCCTTCGATGCTGGGGCGGATCGCTAGTTATTCAATACAGACATATTTTAAGCTCTTATTAAGCGTCAAAAAACTACCACCGGTTCACTAAACCTGTCCAGAAAAGAACCAGCAACAAACTCTGCGGTCTTGTTATCTTTTTTTTAATAACATAAGTACTCAAAAGTATTTAAGAACAAAACTAGACTTGCAAGTGCAGAGCAAGTCATTTGACCACATCCTTATCCTCAATGTATTCTTCGATTATTGTTACGGCAACACCAAACATGGTGTTGCCGTAACAATTATAATAGGCCGTTTCCATTAGTGGAGATTTTACAAATGTTTAAAATTGTTTACACTTAATTGTTTGTGGATGTCACCTCTTAATGAGCACATCATAATCACTTTTCTTCTAGTAACTGACGCAATTCTATATTTTATCAAATTCTTATATAACTAACACCAACTTATCTCGTATAAGAATTTGTTTAAACGCTTTGCTAGAGATGGGGGACACGCTTCAGAAATAGCGTCTCTTAATCGTAAAACGAAAGATTAAAGGTATAAAAATTGTGTATAACTTTTGGAAAAAGAGGGCAATATTTTTTTAAATTCCAATCATGACATATATTATCATAATTGTCTGATTGTTATAATAAAATAATCGCTTTTTATTAAATGCAAATGGATTTATGCACGGTACGTATTCCAAAATTAAATTTTTTATAAGTTTTGTCTGTCTATCTGTCCGTTTGTTCCGGCTAATCTCTGAAACGGCGATAAGGAGTAATATAGACGCACACACACAGACAGACACGTCAAACGTATTATAACAGCCGTCTTTTTACGTCAGAGGTTAAAAGACGTCTGAAAGATACCATCCATAGACTATTAGTAGAAAAGTAATGACAAGATGTTTACGAGTGTGAACATCGTCCTATTTGCTGTGACAAGTTTATCGCCAGCCGCCGATATTTAAAATAGCCGATAGCACGCCATGATTGTAACTGTTAACTCTCTGACGTTGAACAGACTTTCCGGCATCTTGAGCACCCACAAGTTTTTATAGGATATCTAGCGACCCGCCCCGGCTTCGCACAGGTGCAATGAATTATACATATAAACCTTCCTCTTAAATCACTCTATCTAGTTAAAAAAAACCGCATCAAGATCCGTTGCGTATTTTTAAAGATCTAAGATCATACATAGGGACAGACAGACAGCAGGACGACTTTGTTTTATACTATGTAGTGATGTCGAAATAGTTATATCAGTAAATAAATCAGTTTAAATTCTTCTGAGATCAATGAAAGCATTAAAGCCATGATAAACTTCGCCATTGCGGGTTATGGGTTTGATTCCAAGCAGTACAAGTAACGGCAAAAGATATTTTTTCCGAATCTGATTGTATTGCTTGTTTACTTTGTGTTTGTAAAAGGATTATCTAAAAAAATATTATAAGATTTGTAGTGGAAGAACTACCCTCTAACCGATGACCGTATAAGCCTTAACTATTTACTAGAACTATGTTATCAAACAAGTACGTTTTTATTAACAAAGAAGAAACCCAACTCCAAATATCCCATTTACTTTACATTTTCAATAGATTTTGAGGAGTTCCCCGGTTTATTTTCGGAGTCTAAGCTCTAATACCAATGAAATCAATATGTCACCATATTGGACGTAAACTGAACAGAAAAACTCTGCTATATAAATAATATAACCGAATTGAGAACCTCCTTTTTGAAATCGGTTAACAATAAATAAATATGAAATAAATATTTCTGGACATATTTTTACACAACGTTATCTAGTCCCAAACTAAGCAAAGCTTGTACTATGGATGCTATATAACTGATAAACATACTTAAACGCTTTCCTTTTTGTAAATAAATTTTTTAAAATTTAAATAAATTTAAAATAAACTTTTCCTTTTGTAAATAAATACATATTATAAATATATTAACAGTGTTTTTCCAGTGTCTGGAACACTTGGAACACTGGAAAAACAATATGTTCATCACACAATATACTTCCAGTAGTGGGGATCGAACCATACCCTATGGCATAAGGACAGGGTCAACTACTACGCCAATTGGGTCATCAAGGCACAAGCGAGTTTAGGCTGTGAGTAATAATACGGTTGAGCGAGGCACAATGGCACTAAGGGCATGTTTGAAAGTCATTTAAATAAAAGGAAAGTTATTAATATAGCGCCGTCCTTTGCGAAGTTCGCAATTAACCCGCACCCGACAATTGCTACTGCAGAGTTCAATGAACTGTACGATGAAAAAGGACGTAGTTCGCTCGCGAACGTCTTTCGTTGAAACGAACGACGTTCGTCGGCAGTGCGAAGGCGACATGGGCAAAAGATATCGATACATAAAAATTACGATATTTTTCCATAGAATTATCGATATATGTCGTCGATATTTTTATCGCGATATATCGATATTCGATATTTATTTTAGACTATCGAATTCGTGTCAATTTCATATATTTTTAACGCAACTCTGGTTTCGTGTTTAATGGTAATAGATATTCTTTGCATGCTCCTCGCGCATCGTTAACTTTAAAAACTCTTTTCAACTATTGTCTTCATGTCTATTCTATTTTTTACGAATTTTGAATGATTTGAATAGTATGAATGACCATGCGAAAATGAGGATATATCTATATATCGATATTTCTCACTCGATAATTATCGATACATTTTTAAAATTAGGATAAGATAAATATCGGTCTTGCTCATCCCTAAGGCGATAAAAGCGAAATTAAGTGTACTCTTGTGAGATAGATTTTAATGTGATAACCCTAAATAGATGACCCTTTTTGACTTTATATAATTTATTGTATATTATGAAGCTAGGACCACGACCTTCGCCCGACAAAGACTAAGTAAAGAAAAAGGGAATAAAAATTTCTATAAAAGAAACAAACTAAAGTTTCGGTCTTAACTTTCAAAATAGCAAGAGCCCAATTATCAAAAGGTTGTTAACGCCACTGTAACCCTCAGGTATAGCAGATGTCCATGAGCGGCGGTCTCACTTAACATCAGGTGAACCGTCTGCTCGTTTGGCAACTTTTCACATAAAAAAAACTCTGACTACAATCAGAATACAACGAGAGTTAACACTGCTAAGTCCCAAAACGTAGCTCGTGCATAGTCGCTTAAGAAATGTGTATTCAGAAATTGGTTTCTTGGAAGCAACATATTCAGCGGACGACGACGCCACGGCCGCTCTCATTTTTATGACTGACACGGAGACACGGCAAACGGAAGGCGGATACAAAGCATTCGAAACGTTTCTCGGTAGGGCTACTTTTGATGTTTCCTTTGTTCGGAGTAAACGAACGCGGTGCTAATGAACTGATATCGGTTTTACTGCAACGCCATTATCCAACGTCAGTCAGACGTGCGGCTCAGTAATTAGTGGGAGCAGAAACCCTGCTTCCGATTGCTAAATTTGAATAATAAATATTCAGGACAAATTTTTACACGTTTTCTAGTCCCAAACTAAGCAACGCTTGTACTGTATGTACTAGATAACTGATAAACATACTTAAACATGCTTTTCTTTAAAACATTAAAACATGTAGAAAAAGTACGAAAAGATTGTCGCCCCTGTGGGAATCGAACCCACGTCTTCGGCATTCGTGGCCTGACGCTCTAGCCACTGAGCTAAACGGCTGATAGCCACAGCGACGAAAATCTTAACGTCTTCTTTCTACATTGTTATTTAGCATTTGAAGCAATGCTTGGCGCATCTAATGTGGTATCCTTTTCAGCATACAAACAATTTTTTTCTTTTCTTTTGTAAATAAATACATGTTATACATATATAGACACCCAGACAGTAGTAAAACACTATGTCCATCAGACAATATTTTTCCAGTTGTGGGGATCGAACCCATACCCTCTAGCGCGTAGGTACACTACCCACTAAGCCATTCGGGTCGCCAATAAAAGTTCAATTTCAACGCAGTAAAAGTATTACTAATAAACAAAAGCAGAAGGTGCAGGTTCGAATCCCGCAGCATCGAAAGTTTTTGTTCATTTATCTACAAAAATTTACAATTTCTAATTCCATAAAGATTTGTTTGTTGTTCACACAAAAGAATTGTGTAAAGAAAATTTCAATTCGTCAATAACTATTGAATAATTGTTTAATTAACGAAAATACCTAACGCTTTTAAGACCGCGAAATACATTAGGCATTATTAAATCCTTAAAAACGTTTTACACAACATCTTTAAATTCTATTTTTATTGTTCGTCTCTGCACTTTTTTTTTTTTTTTTTTTTTTTTTTTTTATTTTATAAGCTTAAGTGAACAATACAACATAAAAAACTTTATTCGCCAAATTGTAAAAACAATTTATCGGCGACACAATGCACTCTTACATAATTGTCACTTAAATAACAAAATAAAATAATAACTAAGCAATACACAGAAAAAATAAAATAAAAGAAAAAGAAAAACTGGAACAATCTAAGTAATGCTACTATTATAATAATCTATATAAAAGGCCTTTAACTTTCTTTTGAAGATATTCTTGCTTATACAATCATTTTCAGAAAAAATCTCATTAAATATTTTTGGTACTAAAGCATACATCTTTGTCCTCATCCCATAATAATTACACATAATAGGCTCCACATAAATTTTTCTGCTTTTATTTCTTAGGCAGCTATTATTATGTTTTAGATTTTTAAACTCTGGCTTATCATATTCCTCTAGGGCTAATAAAAATTTAACTTTTTCATGTATTGGTAATATAT